TGCTATTGTGAGTATTCTTATGCATAACTTTGTGCATGTGTGTAAATCTGTACGCCTTAACGTTTTTCATCTGTATACAAACGATAGAACTGTCTCCCACCACACTCCAACTTTTGCCTTCTGCTTAATGCTAGTTTGTTGCTTCAGAACTATTTCATTGAAGGCCATCTTGAGTTTTTGAATCAGAACTTCTCTGGTGATCTTGGGTACGAGAAGATTCTTTTCTGGACATGATGTAAGTCCCTATCTGAAATGACTAACAAGCGCTGGCTAGTGTGGCTTAGTTGGTTGTGGTGTTGTCTCGTACACTAAGAGCGTGGAGATTCAAAACCTGGTCATGGCACATTCCTAGGTTACTGGTTCCATCCCTGGTCTGGATACATATGAGAGGCAACTGATTGATGTTTCTCACATCAGTGTTTCTCTCTCTCTCTCTCAAATCAGCCAACACATTAAAAAAAAAGAAATGGCTAATGTAACACAGTAGAGGCATTAAAATACTGTGGGAACTTTATAGGACAGTGGCTAGAGCAGTTTTCTGGTGTCAGCCTGGGTTTCAGTCACTACACCACTCCTTTCTACCTCTTATTATATGTGTCAATCGCCTTAGGCAAGTTATTTACACTTTGTCAGTTTTTTAAATTATATTTTATTGTTTATGCTGTTACAATTGTCCCAACATTTCTTCCTTTGCTCCACTCCACTAAGCACCCTCCACTCCCTCAGGCAAAGCCCGCACCATTGTTCATGTCCATGGGTCCTGCATATGTAGTCTTTGGCTACTCTACATCCCCATGACTATTCTGCAACTACAATACTTCAAAAAAAAAGAGAGAAATATCCCCTCATCACTTCCACTACTTGCCACCAGAGCTCCAATTTGTACTTCTTAATCCCATCACCATTTTCGCCCATCCCTGACCCACCTCCCATCTGGCAACCATCAGAATGTTCTCCATACAGTATCTATGATTCTTTTTCTGTTCTGCTTGTTTGTTTATTTTTTTTTTAGAATCAATTGTTGATGTGTATTTATTGCCATGTTGTTGCTCATGTTAAAGAAGACTAACATTTTATATAATACTGGTTTGGTGGTGATGAACTCCTTATGCTTTTTCTTGTCTGGGAACCTCTTTATTTGTCCTTTGATTCTCTATGATACCTTTGCTGGATAGAGTAATCTTAGTTGTAGGTCCTTGCTTTTCATCACTTTGAATATTTCTTGTGAATCCCTTCTAGCCTGTAAGGTTTCTGTTGAAAAATCAGCTGACAGTGTTATGGGTGCTCCCTTCTAAGTAACTAACTGCTTTTCTCTTGCAGCTTTAAGATTCTCTCTTTGTCTTTAAACTTCTGCATTTTAATTATGACTTGTGTTGGTGTGGGTCTCTGTGCGCTCATCTTGTTTGGGACTCTGCACTTCTTGGACTTGTCTCCCATACAGATACTAACCAGGCCCAAACCTGCTTAGCTTTTGAGATCAGATGAGATCTTCTTGGATGTGTATGTGTATTTCCTTTACCAAGTTAGGAAAGTTTCTCATTATTATTTTTGCAATAGGTTTCTGATTTCTTACTCTCTGACTCTGCTTCTTCCCCTATGATGCAAATGTTGGAATGCTTTAAGTTGTCCTAGAGGCTATATTACCCTCATTAAAAAAATTTTTTTTGTCATCTTGCTATTCTGATTGGTTGTATTTTGTTTCCTTATGTCCCAAATTGCAGGTTGATTCTTGGCTTCATCCACTGTACTGTTGATTCCCTGCAAATTGTTCTTTATTTCAATTAGTGTATCCTTTGTTTCTGACTGGATCTTTTTTATGCTGTTGAGGTTCTCACTAAGTTCCTAAGCATTTTTTTAAAGACTTTATTTATTTACTTTTAGAAAGTGGGGAAAGGGGAGAAAGAGAGGGGAGAAACATCAGTGTGTGGTTGCCTCTTGCATACCCCATACTCAGGCATGCAACCCAGGCATGTGCCCTGATTGGGAATCAAACTGGCGACCCTTTCAATCCACTGAGATACACCAGCCAGGGCCCTAAGCATTTTTATAATCTGTGTTTTGAACTCGGTATGTAATAGATTCCTTGTTTCCATTTTGTTTAGTTCTTTTTCTAGAGATGTGTTCTGTTTTTTCATTTGGGACATATTTCTTAAAGTTTGCTCATTTTTGTCAGCCTCCCTGTGTTTGTTTCTATGTATTAAGTAGAGCTACTGTGTCAGCTGGCCTTGATGCAGTGTTCTAGTGTAGTAGGTGTTCTGTGGGGTCCAGTGGCACAAGCCTCCTCTGTTACTCAAGCTGGGTACTCAGGGCGTACCCACCGTTTGGGCTGTGTACACCTTTTTGTGGTTGTTGAGCCTTGTTTGCCATTGGCTGATCCAAGATCAGCCACTGCCTGTGTTCTGTCCATTGTCACACAGCATAATCTACAAAGTGATTAAGTAGCAGCCAGTGACTGCTACTTTTGTTGGGCTTGTGCCCAAACGAGGCCAAGCTGTTAACCAAGGCCAGCTGCTGCTGGTGCTGGGCCTGGGGGCATCTTAGTGAGAGGTATGGGCTTGCTGAAGCCGGATACTGCTTGTTTGAGAGAATTTAAGAAAATACGAAATATAGGCCAAAAAAAAGCCATTCATATTGAAAAGCCACTGGAAACAGCATGAGTGGGCCCTAAAATTGGGTGGGACAGGACCTCAGGGAATCACCAGGGTGGGGTAAACAGTGTGAGCCAGGTTGATGGAATCTCCGTATGGTACCCACCTGCCGCACTGTGGTTTTGTGCCAGGAATGCTCAGAAAAGGAGCAATGGCTTCTTCCAACTCTTCTATCTAGAAGAAAGCTGTGCCCTATCTCTTGCTTTGGTGCCATACAGTTCTGTGCCTCCCCATATGTCTGTTGCCTTTCAATCTGCTACTCCCACACTGCAGCTCAGAGCGAGTGAGTACCAGTAAGTTGGGCTCAGGCCCTTGAAGAGGAACTGTCTGGGACTCTGGAAGTTTCAGTCTTCCACAGCCTTAATCTGCTCTGATATTTTTACAGCCAGAAGGTATGGATACTTTTCTTCCTGGCACTGGAACCCTTGCCTGGAGGGCCTAGTGTGTGGCTGGGACTCTTCACATGAGATATCCCTCCCGATTTTTATCTGCCACATGTAGCTATAGGACCAGTCTGTTTTATATCCATCCTTCCTACCAGGCTCCATGTGGTTTCTTCTTTAATTCCGTAGTTGTAGAACTGTCATTCATCTTGATTTCTGACGGTTCTGAGAGCTGATGTGGCCCCTGATGAAAATTAGTTTGACACCCCTGTTCTATAGTGTAGTTGTAATTTTGATGTGGTTGTGTGAGGAAGCAAGCTGTGTTTACCTTCACTGCCATCCTAACTGGAAGTTCAGTTTTTTTTCATTTACACATATGGGCTCCTACCCTAATGATGTAGTAGGAAAACAGTTATAGAATTTATGGCCCTGGGTTGTTGTAAAGATTAAGCTGTAATTTATGGAGGCCCTAGTGCATAAATGTTCCATGAATGTTAGGTAGAAAGAGGAGAGAGTACAGCCAATTTATATTCTTCAGTGAGTTGGAGATGGTGATGGATTCTGATGGTGCTTGTCTTGCATTGTTGATCCTCATGCTATTCTGAATAGTGATATGGTTATATTAATAAAAAGTCTATATAAATAGTAAGTACACTGTATCCCAAACTTACTTATGTCAAAAGTTCTTAGGTCTGGAAGTGACTATTTTACTTCTCTTTTACTTATTTTCATAATGAAAAAGATTTTAATGGTTTAAAGGGATCCTAGGAATATAATGTTAATTTATAACATTATTCTATAGAACATCAATTTTCAGCCTTTTTTTAATCTCACGGCACATGTAAACTAATAGCTAAAATTTATAAGATGTACAAAAAATGTTATACTTTTTCTGATCTGACCAAAAAATAGACATAGTTTTGGTTCATTCACACCAGATGGCTATTGTTGTGCTGGCTGTTGTCATTCATTTTTTAAATTTGATCATATAAGGGAAAAGTGGTCAGTGCCCTTGACTCAGGTATTGCATGTTTAGACAATTTTTATGGACCACCAACTGAAAATTGCTGCTATAGAAGATAAGGCTTTACTTTGGGACCATGTTTTAATCATATTTGTATGCCTGTGGCCTTTTACTTCCTTTTACATATAAAGCACTCAGTATTTGTAATCTTGAACTAGTTAATCTACTCATTCCTAGAAATCCTCAAAATTACTATTTGAAATTCTCATATTATTCCCTGAATTTACATGCCATTGTGCCACAAAAAACACATCAGAATGATCTTACAGTAAAAAATGTGCTATTATAACCCTGACTGCTGTGGCTCAGTTGGTTGGGCACTGTTCTGCAAAGTGAAAGGTCACTTTTTCGATTTCCAGTCAGGGCACATGCCTGGCTTTTGCGGTTGGTCCCTAATCAGGGTGCATATGAGAGATAGTTGGTCAGTGTTTCTCTTTCTTCTATCAGTGTTTCTTTCTCTCTCTTTCTTCTTCTCTCTTCCCTTCCCCTCTCTCTAAAAATAAATAAATTAAAATCTTTTTTAAAAGTGCTACGATGGGAATAGTTAGAAGTATTGATTTCTGACTGTATTTCATTTGCTCTTATTCTTGAATATTTTCAAATGTGTTTTCCATTTGAGTTCAATATTTTGCTTAATATTTGTTAAAAATATATTTAAGTAAAATTTGCTTATTAAGACACAGCCATTAGCCTTATATCTTTGTTTATGGAGTAGGTTAAAATTGTGATAATCACAAAACCAAAACTAGAAAGTAAACATCCAGTCTATCTTTGTTTGAAGTGGTTTTAAGTCTGAGTGCTATTTTTATAGTAATATATTGATACATGAAATAATCAGAAACTTGGTTCAGGCATTATAGGAAAACATCCCTTAATATTTTTTAATTGATGTTGAAATAGTATTGAATAAAAATGGTGTGATTCATCTTATTTTTACTCTTCCAGATTATATATGAACAGGAAGGGGTCTATATTCACTCCTCTTGTGGAAAGACCAGTGATCAAGACAGCTTGATTTCAGGAATATTACGTGTTTTAGAAAAGGTATGTTTCCAGTAAATGATTTTATTTAATAATTGTTCATGGTAGTGTCTCATCTTTGGGGCATTATCAGTAAGTTTGAATTTCATGTGTAAGATAAAATTATGTAATTTAACAGTGGTTATAAATTTAACAAATAATGTTAGAAATATACTTTCAGGTAAGTCAGTAAAATAGCAAGGAATACTTGTTATATAAAAGTTGCAGTAATTTTTTATGATAAAATGTAAGCAGAATTTTAAAATTTATGTAACATTTGTTGTCTAGTTATAGTTTACATATGATATTGCATATTTAAAGTACTAATATTAAGAGGTTAAAATTTCATTTTTTGTACAGGGAATTAAAAATAGGTGACTAAGAATTTTAGCTATTGCTGAATAGTAAATATAGTTCATAATTTTTTTTCTCTAGGATGCTGAAGTGATAGTGGATTGGAGACCATTGGATGACGCGTTAGATTCTTCTAGTATTCTCTATGCTGGAAAGGTATTTAAGAAAAAAAAGATATATGATTGAAGTTATTGTAACTGAACAAAAAAATGGAGATTCAGGTGCCTGTCACCACAAAATCCACACTTGTGAGGCAGATGTTGGTGTGAAAAGAAAGAGGTTTTATTCAGGTGCTACACGATCCTGGAAGTTGGTGGACTCCTCTCTTAAAGCCCATCGCCTCAGCAAGAGCAATGCAAAAGCCAGTGTCCAGAGTTCCTGCTCCAATTTAAAGTACAGTTCTTTGGAGCCCATAGGTGGCTGTTAAGTGGTTGTAGTCCCCATATAGTTAGCTTAGGTTGTTTCTGGCTATTGCCATTTCAGGCTGCTTCTTGCGTGAGGAGCCTGTTCGGCCTTGGGCCATGCAGCTGTTAGTGCTGCCTGGTTTTATGCTCTTGGGTGAGAGGACGTGTGAATGAACTGGTCTGTGCATCTCCAGGGAGACAAGAGCAAGAGAAAGATTCCCTCCTGTATTCCATGGGCTACATGGCCCGTGGCGAGAAAGGCCAGTGCACTGTGTGCATAAACCAGAGAGAACTTACTTCCTGGAATTATATTAGCTTGGGTGTGGTATAGACCAAGTGCTTTCTCAAAATGACCAGTGAGCTTACCAAGCTTTCCTGTGCATTGGGTGGGTCCACCTCCTAACCAATCCTCTCTCTCCCCAGGGTAGACTTACAGGCCTCTTTGGTCCAGCACCATTTTGACTTCTATGGTGCATATTCCTGCCTTCTCCCACATTGTGGTACCAGCAGGGAGGGGAGGGCTTTTTCCTATTCTCTCACTTGCTTTTCATGCTCAGACCCTCTCCATTGATATTTTAGCTTTCCAAGCACTCAGTGTAAGAAACCTCTGCATGCTACTGTCTTGGACAATGGGTGAGACTCCCTGACACTCCTGAAAGACTGTCTACTGGTAACCTTATGTCATTGAAGAAAAAAAAAAAAAACAGCTTTATTGGGGTATAATTCACATACCATGAAACTCTTTTAAGGTCTATAATTCAGTGGTTGTAGTATATTTATAGGTTTGTGCAACTATCACCAATATCTAATTTTAGCGCATTTTCATCATCCCTGAAAAATAAACTACCTTTTATTGGTTACTCCCCAATCCATTCTTCTTTCAGCCCCTGGCAACCACATTGTAGACATTTCATCTATATGGAATCATAAAAATGTGGTATTGTGACTGGCTTCTTTCATTTAGCATGTTTCAAGTTTCATCCATGTTGTAGTATCTATTGGTATTTTGTTATTTTTTCCCTTCTGAATAATGTAGCATTTATGGATGTACCACATTTTATTTATCACTTGATAGACATTTGGGTTGTGTTTACTTTTAGGCTAATAAAAATAATGCTGCTATGAACAGTCATGTACAATTTTTGTGTGGACATGTGTTTTCTCTGGAAAACCTGGGAGTGGAATCATTGGGTTTTATGGTTATTGGTGTTATAACATTTGTATCATATGTTGACTTCTCACTATGGGAGGTTGATTTAGCTTTATCTTATCTCTAATTCACCTTCATCTTGAAATTCTGGTTCTGCTGTCCACATTTCTTCTCAAAGTATTTAATCATATAGATGATCTTCCAATTTCATTTTCATAGAGACTTTTTTTTTTTTTACCAGAGTCTTACTAGCTTTACTCTGAACTGGTTGCTCTTTTGTTTCTTGTGCAGCAATTATCCTGGGAATTCTGTTTTCCTATTTCCCATATTTTAATCCCCGTTTTCTATATTCTATACTGTTATCTACCTATTTTGGATTACTCCCTTGTTTTGGTGCAGTTCTAGTGCTTCTTGAGAAAAAAGGTATATGTAAGCAAATACAGTTCTTACAGACTTTTCTTTTTTAAAAATATATTTTATTGATTATGCTGTTACAGTGGTCCCAATTTTTTCTCCTTTGCCCCCCTCCTCCCAAAACCCTTCATTCCCTACGGCAGTCCTGCCCTTAGTTCTTGTCCATGGGTCATGCATATAAGATCTTTGGGTACTCCATTTCTCCTCTTGCCTATTCTGTGCATACAAATTTGTACTTCTATTTTTTTTTTTAAGATTTTATTTATCTCTAGAAGGGAAGGGAAGGGGAGAGGGAGAGAAATATCAGTGTAAGGTTGCTTTTCTTGCGTCCCCTGCTGGGAACTGGCCCCTCAACCCAGGCATGTGCCCTGACTGGGAATCGAGCCATGATCCTTTGGTTCTCAGGCCTGCGCTCAATCCACTGAGCTACACCAGCCAGGGCCCAATTTGTATTTTTTAATCCTTGCACCTTTCCCCCCTTCTCCCTCTTCTCCCTCCCAACTGGTATCCCTCCAACTGATCTCCATATCTGTGATTCTGTTTTTGTTCCACTTGTTTGCTCAATTTTTTTTTTAGGTTCAGTTGTTGATAGTTGTGAATTTTTGTATTTTAATGTTTGTTTTGATCTTTTTCTTTTTTCTTTAAGTGTATTTTATTGATTATACAATTATAGTTGTCCCATTTTTTTCCCCTTTATCCCTTTTCTGCCCTGCACTGCACCCCCACCTACCAGCAGTCCCCCAACTTAGTTCATATCCATGGGTCATGCATATAAGTTCTTTGGCTTCTCCATCTCCTATACTATTCTTAACCTCCCCCTGTCTATTTTGTACCTACCATTTATGCTTCTTGTTCCCTGTACCTTTTCCCCCATTCTCTCCCCTCTCCCTGCCTGCTGATAACCTTCCATGTTGTCTCCATTTCTGTGATTCTGTTCCTGTTCTAGTTGTTTGCTTAGTTTTATTTTTAGGTTCAGATGTTGATAGTTGTGAGTTTGTTGTCATTTTACTGTTTATAGTTTTTAATCTTCTTTTTCTTAGGTAAGTCCCTTTAACATTTCATATAATAAGGGCTTGGTGATGAACTCCTTTAGCTTTACCTTATCTGTAAAGCACTTTAGCTGCCCTTCCCTTCTAAATGATAGCTTTGCTGGGTAGAGTAATCTAGCTTGTAGGTGCTTGCCTTTCATGACTTTGAATACTGTTGGCAGCCCCTTCTTGCCTGCAGAGTTTCTTTTGAGAAATCAGCTGACAGTCTTATGGGAACTCCTTTGTAGTTAACTATCTGTTTTTCTCTTGCTGCTGTTAAGATTCTCTCTTTATCTTTAACCTGTGGTATTTTAATTATGATATATCTTGGTGTGGTCCTCTTTGTGTTCATCTTGCTTGGGACTCTGTGCTTCCTGGGCTTATATTCTATTTCCCTCACCAAATTATGGAAGTTTGCTTTCATTATTTTTTCCAACAAGTTTTCAGTTTCTTGTTCTTTATCTTCTCATTTGGTACACCTGTGATTCGAATGTTGGTATGTTTGAAGTTGTCTCAGATGTTACTCAGTCTGTCTTTTTTGGGGGGGTGGGGATTCTTTTTTCTTGTTGCTGTTCTAACTGAATTTTTTTCTTTTGTTCCAACTCACTGATTTGATTCTTGGCGTTACCCACTCTACTGTTGATTGCTTGTAAGTTTTTCTTTATTTTACTTAGTGTAACCTTTGTTTCTGGCTGGGTAATTTTTATGCTGTTGAAGTACCCATTGAGTTGGTTGAGCATTCTAAACACCAGTATTTTGAACTCTTCATCTGAAACATTGCTTATCTCCATTTTGTTTAGTTCTATTTCTGGAGTTTTGTTCTGTTTTTTTTTCATTTTGTCCATATTTCTTTGTCCTCTCCTTTTGGCAGTCTCCATCTGTTTGTTTCTATGTATTTGATAGAGTTGCTTTGACTCTCTATCTTGGTAGTGTGCCCTAATATGGAGAAGTACATGCATTAGGCACGGCGGATGGAACCTTAGTTAATTGCATGGGCAGGGTAACCTTTGTGAACTTCATTGATGGAGCCTCAGTTATGGTGTTCTCACTCTGTGGCTCTGTGTGGAGGAAGACTCAGACGAGGATGATCACTGCCTGGCCTCTGGTGTTCTGTCCGGGAGGGACCTGTCCTCTCACTCTTGCTCTGATGCCAGGCACTTCAGTTTCTTACCATATGCCATTGGTTATCTTGAAGCTGCTGCCCCACTGCTGGAGCCCAGAGGAAGTGAGTCCGAGTAAGTCATAAGTTGGTTGTGGACTTTTAAGAGGAGATGCCTGATAATTTTGCAGTTTCTTCGACCACCTACCTCCCATTGGTTTTTACAGCCAGAGTTATGGAGACTTAGATTCCTGGCACTGGGTCCGTGGACCAGGGGACCTGGTGTGGGGCTGGGATCCCTTGCTTTAGTGATACCTGTCCCAGTTTTTATCCTCCACTGTGGTTGTTGGGCCTCCCATTCCGCTTCTCCATGTGTCTGCCCCTTCTACCTGTCTAATAAATGTGACCTCTTTGATTCCTTGGTTGTTGGACTTTTCTATAGCTCCCTTTCCTGGTGATTCTGGGTGATAACTTGCTTTATAGTTTAGTTGTAATTTTTGCTGTTGTTTTGGGAGGAAGTGAGTTGTGTTTACCTACACCTCCATCTTAATGAGAAGTCTCCTTTTTGTAAACTTTTCTATTCTTATTCTGAACTGGATTCATGGCTGGTATAGAATTACAGTTTGAAGATAAGTTTTCCAACCTGTTTTTGAAAGTTATCATTCCTGGCTTGTTTATTCGATTTGATTGGTATTAGGTTTAATACATTCTAATTCCTAATCCTTTGTATGTATTTTCTTTTAAAAATCTTTTAGAATTGGCCTTTATTTCTAATGTTTTATATGTTCTGGTAATGTGCCTTTGTAGTTTTTTAATCTTTTGTGCTGGGTAGTTTATGGACCCCTTTAATATGGACATGTTTTTGAGTTATTTCAGTGATGATTTCTTCTCCATTTTCTTAATGGAATTCTTTAGACCTTCTGGACTAGTCCTATAATTTTTTAAAAAGATTTTATTTATTTATTTTTAGAGAGAGGGGAAGGGATGGGGAAGAAAGGGAGAAAAACATCTCATTGGTTACCTCTCACATACCCCCAACCAGGCACCTGGCCCACAACCCAGGCATGTTGCCCTGATGGGGAATTGAACTAGTGATCCTTTGGTTCTCAGGCTGGTGCTCAATCCACTGACCCACACTAGCCAGGGCTGGTCCTGTCTTTTAAAAAATTCTTTCTTTCTTTTCTGTTTTATAGTTCTTTGTCTATGTGTATGTGTGTGTAGTATTTTTTAGGAAATTTCTCCAAGTTCATGGTCTAAATCTTTTATTGCCTTTTTTGTTTTTGTTAGAGTTTTAATTTCTAAGACATTGTGTTGTGTGTCCCTCCCTACCCCTTTTAAAAACAGCATCCTGTTCTTAGTTGACGTAATGTCCCTCCTTATTTCTAAGGAGTTTAAGGATAGTTTTTCAGATGCTTTTATTTCTTTAGATAGTCAACTTCCTCTGGTTGACTGCCTTCTTTTCCATTGTTTCATTTGGACACTGTCTTTTGGGTCGACATTTGCCTTTGATGTTCGGTGATCTTTATAGGACTCATATTTAACAGCATGCCCAGAAAAGTGACTATACTCTCTCTAGGTATGGGTAAGCTTGGTAATAGTAAGGACTCAAGGGGACCTGGATAGGTTCTTTTCTTGAGGATCCTTGGTATTGACATCTAGGTCTTTCTTTTAGGCTAGTGATTTTTCACAGAACAATTTGCAAATTCCTGCCTGGGAAGGGTTAGCCTGGATTCCAGTGTTCTGAGAGTTGAGTAGGGAAAGAGAGCTTGGAGTCTTGCCAACTACGTGTCTTGCCAACTCATTTTATAGATGGAATTTCAATTCTCTTGTTTTTAGAGTATTATCTCTTTACTGAGTGTGCTTAGTTTCTCCTAATTCAGAAATAGTCTGTGTTACTTTTACCAATGAGTAAACCTCTATCCTTCTGGACTTTTGTTAGTAGTTCTGTTTTTAGCTTGACCTTTATCCTGATTTCCGAAAGGACCTGATAAGCTAATCCAAACCTTTGTGTGAGGTGGGGTTCTGTAGATGCTTCTTAACTTTCTCTACTAGTGATGGTAGGGTTGGTAGTGACACTGGTAACGGTGGCATTTTTAAAATTGGGCAGATATGTGGTGGGCTTCCCTATTAAGGACCTGGAAGAGGAAACACTACACTTTATATTTTCATTCATTCAGTCCCACCCACCCCAATTTTTCAGTCTTTATCTATGTATTCTTATTATTTTTTCCTGTGCCTTTATACTATCTTCTTGTTCCTACAGTTTTTTTCTGCTCTTTAAAAAGAAAAGATCAATGCTAGGATTACATGAATGCATTCTTATAAAAATTCAAATAATAGAAAGTTGAAGTAGTTCTGCTTCATTAGAACCCTGTCCTTTATCTGTCCCTGTTTTTTAGTGTATTGACTTTTGAGAATTTATCAGTTTTCCTCTCTATCCATTTATCTTTAGTTCTCTGTGCTTCTAATTACATATATACATGCAATTGTTATATTGTACACATTGTGACAACACTTTTATTTACTGTTATTTATTGAACATATATAAATATTAACATCAGTCCTTAAACTACTGCTTAGTATTTCACAGATAACCCCCTAGTTTATTTACTCATTTCTTTATTGATGGATATTAAAAATTTCTAGTTTTTTTTTCACTTTTACAAACAGTGCTGTAATGAAAATTCTTATATTTGTATCTTTGTACACATGTTTGCATTTTAGTATTTCTGTGGGGTAGATGATGAGAAAAGAATTACTGTGGTAAAACACTTGCCTATTTTGAATTTTCATGTTTATGTGAATTGCCTTTTGGGAGTAAGTACTGTCATCACAGTGTGGGGTAGCATTCCTCACACTGTCTTTTGTATTTTTGTTTTTTAATTGAATAGGGCAAAAGAATGGAAATTCATCTTAACTTGCTTTTCTTTTATTGTTTAGGAAATTGGACATTTTCCTGTATATTAGTTACTTCATATTTCTTTTTTGACTTACTTGTTCATACTATTTGCTTATTTTTCTTTTGATATTTCTAAATAAATAAATTCTATTTGTTTTCTAAATAAATTGGTAGGAGTTGTTTTTGTATTCTGGGTGTTTTTATGTCATCTACTATATATTTTGGAAATATTTTTACCCATTCTTCTCTTTTACGTATGTGTGGTAGCTTTTGGTGTATAGAAGTTAAACTTTTTGATTTAGTGAAATTGTTAACATTGCATTTTAGACTTTTGGTTGTATCCTTTTTTTAAATGAAAAATTCTGTAGAACTATACACGTGGATACATTTTTTATAGCTTTTAGCTAATTTTGACTGAGGGAAATATGCAACCTGTGGTTTCATAAATACCCCCATTAGCTATTTTCCTCAACCAGAAGTCTGAAGACTTAGAGCTATTTGCTGTGGTTCTCTTGCTTTGTTCCTCATGGTTAGAAGATGGCAGCTATATTTTTAAGCAACACAGCTGCATTGGAAGCAGTGAAAAGGGGGAAAGGGATGAGAATTTCATTAGGAAAGCAAAAGCATTTCCAGAAGTTCTGCAGTTGACTTCTACTCATATAGCATTGGCAACCCTAACTGCAAGGAATCTGGGTAAGCTTTTCGTATGTTTTTGGTAAAGGTGGGAAAGGGCGAAAATGGTAGGAAATAGTGTTTCATGTTTCCACTGGTGATACCTGCCACAATATACAAACTTAATTTATATAAATGCTGAGAAAATGTTACTGATTAAAATTAAATTCTACTTTTAGTTCCTAAATATTGTATGTGTTGTAATTATTTTAGGACTCCAGTTCAGTTGTAGAATGGACCCAGGCCCCAAAAGAAAGAGCTCATCGAGGACCGGAACATGTGAACAGTTATGAAGCAGAGTGGGACATGGTTAATACAGTTTCATTTAAAAAGAAACCACATACCAGTGGAGGTATGAATTAAATCTTTTGAAATCTTAAACTGATTTGATGCAATATACTGTAAACAAAAGTGCAAAACAGTTCTTTCAGATTCCTCAGTCAGAAAAAAAGGATGCTTTTGGTTGATACATATAACTCTCATATTTTTTAGTTATATTCTCTTTTCATCTCTTTTTGTTGTTTTGTTGGTTGTGACTTCATGAAAAAAGGCTTTCAAAAACTTTTTCTGTTTTGTAGTTATTAATGGCAGAAAATAGAAACACTTTAGAAAATTGCTTCTGCTTTCTCTCATGTGCTTTTTTCTTAATCTGGTAGAATAAAAAATAATGTTATTTTATTCTGAAGCACAAGGGGGAGATGGTGTATACCACTAAACCATCTGTTCTAATTTCAGTGTTTAGTGGGATCTTCAGAGCTCATTGCAATCTCCCCTATATACAAGTTCAGTGACTCTCCTCCTCTATGTATATTTAAATTTGCACTTGCTGTGAGGTAATTATCTGCATGTATACAACAACAACAATAAGAAAAGGCCAAGCTAGCAGCCTGGTAGAACACATGTACTACCCCAAGTATGATCTATCTAGCTAGCCCTTTGTGATGTAGCCAGGTTATTGGTGATTGAGCTCTTTCAAAAACATTAAACAATTGTATAGAGTCAAAATGTTTTTTCCTACTGATTTGTTTGTATTTTATAATGAAAAATATATTTTAACTCTTTGATGATTGTGGTCTGAATATAGGAATTCATCCATGTTTATCAAAAAGGCTGGCCAGAATTTATTGGAATATGTTTTGCTACATTTATGCAGCATTGTTACTAAGTAGATTTTATTTTTATACATGGCCTGGGGAATAATTCTCATATATAATAGTTGTGTTTTGAACTGTATCATTTCTTGGAAACAGTGGCAATTAAGAAGTAAATTGTAATTCACAAGATGCCATTATGAAACATTTCCATATTTTTAAATAGCATTTTTTCAAATAAATTTCTCATTAATTATAATCTTTACTTTTTTTTAACTCTTTTTGGTGATTCACAAAGAAAACTTGGGATAAACCTTTAAAAAATTGACTATTAAGGACTTATTTAACTTTATATTTCTTAAGAGTTTCTACTGCTAAGTCTTTGTTTTTATGTACCAGATCAAATGTTTTGAAAATACATATTCCCAAAACAACAGGCTGCTGGGATTCCATAAACACGAATCTAGATTTCTTTATGTCATGTCATTGATGTTAATTTAGTGTGTTGGAGATGTTTTTCACATGTATTTGGTAACATAGTTCATTAGAACTAGTTTTGTTTACCTTTCTAAAAGGATAAAGAAGAAACTTTTAGCTAACTCTTGGTTTCTGTTAGTTTTTCTTTCTAACCATTTCTGTTTCTGGTTAGCTATTAGTGATAGATTAGATTGAAAGTTACTGTCATGTTGCCTTGATATTAGATTATTTATTTATTCTAAGCATTTTGAGTACTGATTGCATGTAGTCAGTCTTCTAGCACCTAGAGATAAAGTTGTGAACAAGATAAAGTTCCTGTTCTCATGAAGCTTATATTCTATTAAAGGATTGTCTAGAATTGACTTGAAACATTTCTCTCATCATTTATCAGCACTTTAAGCAAGGAAATGTGTGAAGCATTTTCTTTTTTATTTAATATGTAATGTGTCACTCTCATTAATGAGGGAAAATCTGTGTAAAATTTTTGCTTTTGAAAATGTACAAACTCACTCCTGATGATTCATATACCCTGCATTTATTATTTAATATTCTCCACATGATTTTGTTACATTAATTTGGGTTAAACACTTTTTGCATAATTTAAGAGTTTTATACAAAGGATTGTTTATATCTAATTATTCATTGCTCTTTTGCTATGAAAATATTTTTGGTCTTTGCAGATCACATAGTAATATGTATCCTTTCTAGGTAGTCCAAGTATATTCACACTTAAATGATTCATGAGGACATTGGAATTGTAGAATTGTTCTCATTTTGATTTTAGCTTGTAGTAGTGTTATAAGCTGTATATAAATTCCAGTAAAATGTAATGTGTATTAGCCAAGTGGGAACATGGCACTTAACCTAGTTCCAGCCTTACATGTGAGTTCACCGTTTGAACTGGTGTGTTGCTTTAGCCTCTCTGGGGTTCCTTTGAAAGGATACTTGCTAGAGTGTCCACGAAATAGTGATGATACCTGTATTCCTTACAGGTAGAGATTTCTGTAGGTTATAGATTACTTCGTGTCAGTTTAAAAGGCCTTTTGGTGGTGATGCAACTATAGTGTTCCTCACTGTGTAAGGAGGTGATATACATGCAAGTTAATACCAATTGACCTATGCTTTGGTCAAGTTCTAGAAGCATATATTACCTGTGCAGTTAATCTTTGTAGAACTGATAGTCTGGGACAGAATTAATGAAGATCTTGAATAGCAGAATAGTATGGCACTTCTTAGGAAATAACATTAGAGAAAAGTTTTTTAAAGTTTCAGAGATATGACATGCTTATGTCTAAGTTAAAATATTAAAATAAAATGATTAGAAATTATAAATAGATTAGAAATTAATTATATGTGTCAATGAGAGAAACAACATCTCATTATTCTTTAAATTTTTATTTAAATAGGTAGTCTTTTTTAAGTTGCTTGTTATCAATTATGGTATTGTTCACACCTCTAGGGTTTAAAACTTCTGTAAACAGCCCACAAACTCAGAAAATGCTTTATTTTTACATAACTATAGTTTGGTTTGAACTGAGGTCTTAATTTGCTGAAAGATTGATTTAGCAGGAAGATTTAATGTACTCATTTTCTTTGAAGCATTCACAGCTTAGTGATCTTTTCACTTGTAATTCCCCACTGTTCTTTGGGGTTTAAAAAAATAGTTTACTCCAATGTAACTTTTTTGCTGGTATACTTACCCACTTTCAGTGTAATGTAGTAGAAGTAATTGTGAGAGGAAGAACGGGAAATAAAGGTTTTGTTTTTGCTTTTTGTTTGAAATGACTTCCAAGAGCATCATACCATTGGTATTTGGGGAGAGTGGAAAAGATGAACATTTTTTGAGTATTTACTGTATATTTTGCACTGTACCTAGTTAGTTGACAAGTAATGTATGTCTTAATTCTTAGAATAACATTGGGAGGTAACTATAATTATCTCCATCTTACAGATGAAGAAATGGAGGCTCAGAAAAGTTCAGTTATTTACTCTGATCATTTAGTTTATAAGGTGGTGGTGCTATAATTTCAAACCAGCCAGCCTGCTTTCAAAACTGTGTTCATTTTGGGCAAAGCTTATATTTAAATATGGATAACCTTTCAAATTTGTGTGCAGTAGGGTCATTTAAAAAATTATTCCTTTAAAAACTATGATGCCATTTTTAATACAGGTGGAAGCCATAGTGATAATGGAATAGTCATACCCTAGGGTCAACAGATTTCTATTAGGCAATCATGAAGATCACTGTCAGTACCTTTTAAAAAGGTGACAAAATTTTTTTGCCCCACTTTCTTGTTTTTAAGATACTCCAAGTCATAGAAATGGGAAAAGCAAATGGTCATTCCTGTTCAGTTTGACAGACCTGAAATCAATCAAGCAAAGCAAAGAGGGTATGGGCTGGTCATATTTGGTATTCTGTCTAAAGGATGACGTCGTTCTCCCCGCTCTGCACTTTCATCAAGGAGACAGCAAACTACTGATTGACTCTCTTGAAAAATACGTGGTATTGTGTGAGTAAGTATCAAATTATTTTCTGCTTACTAAAATTGAAACGTTGTTCCGAACACAAACTATGTTTATTTATCATTGGGTATCAGTAACCTGTGTGTGTATCAGGGCACAAGCACTTTTTATTTTTCTGAGATTTGACTGCTTTGGATGAATAATGGAGTAAAATTTTGCCACTAGAGTAATTTGTATCAGCTACCTATCACCTTATTACTGTTTAAAGAAAAGAATGCTCTAATATTTTTATACACATTTAAATGAGTGATGATTTATCAATAACTTATGGACTATGTATTTACCAAATTTACCTTTTATTACATAGTTTCTATTACACGTTGAATTTTATTTGAAGTGTTGCAAACTTTAAGTTGGGCCCTTAAGTTTAAGCCCTTTATAATTATATAAGTATGGCAGACAGGGCTTCCTCATTTTTCAGAAATCTTGTATCTTACATTTATTCATCTGTGTGCCTTTGTATACACGTAGTCTCTCTTGCTTTCACTGTCATCAAATATATTTTGGGTATCAGTTATGTTCGGAGCACTGTGCTAGTTGCTTGATACTTAGTAGTAAACAAAAGAGGCACATTCGGGATATCTGAGAGTTTCCATCCTTGTGAAGGATGCTGACCACTAAATGGGCATTAAAATTCAGGACCTGAGATGGAAGAGATGCGAGGTACTTGGGGATCTCACAGGAGGAGAGGAAGGGTACCTCATTCAGACTGCAGATTGGGTAGAAGTCAGGGAATACCTTCCGAGGAAGTGACATCTAAATTCAGACCTGACAAATGAGTGAACATTAGCATGAAAGGGAAGGAAATATTAAGAGGGAGAGATGTTTTAGGTAAAGGAAAGAATGTAAAACGTGATGTAATATCAGAACAGTAATTGAATATCACAGGTTTGCATAGTGTGGGAAGGGAGGGAACCAAATGCAGAGATTAGACCAAAGAGCTGGGAAAAGGCCAGAACATGAAGGAGCTTGTAAATTACATTAGCAAGTTGTTCTGGTCATTCAGACGAGATTATAGTGGCATGAAATAGGAGGATGACAAGAAAGACAGAAGTGTTAGACAATGTTTAGGGTTGGAGTTTGTGACTGGATATGTGGAGGTGAAAAGAAGGAAGTTGAGATTTTTTAGATTGGGGAACTGAACGGATGATTGTTAACTTCATTAATAATGTCCTCACTTTATAATAGAAAATATAAAAATGCTCTTGCTTTATCATATCTAGATTTAGATTATTTAAGCTAGGAGTGATCCAAAAGTTGGAAGACATTGATGTTGTGTTCTCTGTGTTTTCTCGAATGATATTACTCCTGTATCGTGTTGATCACTTCTGGCTGGCACTAGGTATGCTGATCAGTACCATTAACCATAAGAAAGCCTGGCTCGATTGGTAGTGTTTGGATCTTGAACTTCAAGTGAGAAGTTGTGAATAGGCTACCACCCAAGGGGTTAAGTAGATTTTAGGAGAGGCATTGTCGTGATTGAGGCAGAAGGTTTGGCTGTCTGAATAGCAGGTCTTAAAGACTTGGGGTTTTAGCTGTATAGCAAGCTCAATATTAGTCAGTGTTGTGATGTAACAGGCATGAAAGAGCTTACTGAATCTGAGACTTTTGATTAAAGCGTAGTATCAGGGATGAAGTAGAACCTCTCTACTCTTCACTGGTGAGATCATACTCTGGAGAGTTAGTTTTAAGCACTGCATTTTAAGTGTGTTAGACTAACTGTACTACATGAAAAATATCATTAGTGTAATGAAAGAAGCAAAATGTTATCATGAAAAACATTAGAAAGATGTGGCAATTTAACTTGAAGAGTTTTGGTGTAGCATTAAATACAATCCAAACTTCCCGTCCTATCTTAGTTCTGTTCATCTCTTAAACCTCATCTCACACTATCTTCTGTAGTCTGGCCACATGGTTTTCTTTCAGTTCCTAAAACACTCAATGCTATCTTGCCTTAGGGTCATTACATGTGCTGTTTCTTCTTTTTTTTTTTAAAATGTGAAGTTTTTCTTTTTAAAAAAATTTTATTTATTTATCTTTAGAAGGGGAGGGAAGGAGAGAAATATCAATGTATGGTTGCTTCTGGTGCATCCCCTGCTGAGAACTGGCCTGCAACCCAGGCATGTGCCCTGACTGGGAATCAAACCGCAATCTTTTGGTTCGCAGGCCCCTGCTCAATCCACTGAGCTACAGCAGCCAGGGCTCATTTCTTTTATGTGGAATATTCTTTCAGTGTCGGATCTCGGAGGTCTCAGTTTAATGGTGCTCCCTCGAGGGGCTTTCCTGGACGCCTCCTCTCCCATTATCTGTGGGTTCCCATGCCCATTCCTTTTCACTGTCTCAGTCCTTTGTCAGCTTCCACCATGGCCCTTAACAGAATAAAATAATACTGCCTCTTTTTTAATATTTTGCTCTAGAATGTAAGTCCATAAAGACAGGGATGCTTCTGTCTTACTTACATTGTCTCTTGAGTTCTAGCCACAGTGTATAACACATATTTGCACAGTAAATCTTTGTTGAATGAATAAATGGCCTGTTACTTCTACAAATAATTTTAAAGGGTTGTTATAAGAAGTAAATTGAAAATTTGTTTTTTGTGACTCCAAAGAGAAAAATAGAAGGAAACAGATTTTAGTTTGAGAGGTAGGAGTTTTCTGTCCTGGATGGGTTCAAGGATGTACAGCAATCATGTTGTAATGTATTTTGTAGCTTGAATATGCACTGGTGATGTTTTTTTAATGAAGGCTCTAAGTGAAACTTTCTTTCCTGCATTTGTAAATAATTGAGAAGTAAATATAAAAATCAGACAGTTGGTGATAAAAATATTACCATTATCAGTTAGGCTTAGATATGCAGCATCATACTGACCCCCCCCCCCCGAGTTTGTTCTGAAGTCAGCCAGTTTTTGTCACTTTTGGACGACCGCGGGTCTTCCTCGTGAGGGATCACTTACAGTGGGAGTGAGAGTAGACTGGAGACCACTTCCTCCATTGGCAGGCAGATCAAAGCGGAGGACAGAGCTGGGTGGGATTATGGGAGGCACCCACCTTACTCTTTCCTGATGCCAGCAGTCAGATGTGTCCCTGGGAGGAGAGTTTCTTTAGAACAAGTGCATATTTCCATTTGGAAACATGAAATTTTGGGAATGGTGTTCCCTTTTCTCCCCCTTTTTTTATTCAACTAATTTATTTTGAGGAACTGTGCCAAGTTCTGGAAAGAGAGCAATAATAAAAAGAGATTTGAAGCCCTGGCTGGCGTAGCTCAGTGGATTGAGCGCGGGCCTGTGAACCACACAGTCGTGGTTCGATTCCCAGTCAGAGCACATGCCTGGGTTGCAGGCCGGTTCCCAGCAGGGGACTCACGAGAGGCAACCATACATTGATATTTCTCTCCTTCCTTTCCCCTCTAAAAGATAAATAAATAAAATCTTAAAAAAAAAGAGAGAGATATGAACCCTGTCTTTAGGGAGTTTGTACTATTGTGGGAGAGACTAACATTGCTTATACAAATATGTGTAAATTTTCAGCTGTAGTAAGTTTGTTGGATAAGAGACATATAGTATTATCAGAGCATATAATAGAATAATTAATAAGATAACATACACAATAATTTTTTGTGTTGGTAGTAATTGAAGCCCTGAGAGAAAATTAGATTAAATAAGCAGAGAATCAAATGGGACACTGTATGAGCACATCTGATTAATTGCAGTCTTTAACGACCTGGTCAGAGAGAAAAAGTAGAGGAGACGACCCTCCTGACACTTTTCCCTCTTGCCTCTTCCCCATTATCTTGTCTTTTCCCATTGGGCTTTGTCATTAAGTATCTGGTCAATCAGGGATGTGGCTGTTTTGGGGTGAGGAGAGCGCTGTTTAAAGTAAGTCATTCAAAAGCTACACTCCAATACCAGGCACTCCTCCATTGTGTATTCTTCTGTGACAGTGGGGGTCAGTTTACTCTTTGTCCCCTGAAGGGTTTATATGTATAGGAATAGTACATCAGATATTTTAACTCCTAGGCTCCTCTTTCCTTGGATTTAAATTAGTTGAAAATTAGCATTCCCTGTTCTCTTTCCCATCATAAATTATTACCAATTACAAGGAGCCTTATAGTTCACCAGAGATTATATGTTGAGTCCAAGTGGTAGAATGTAGATAATCCAGATGAGCAGTCAGCAGTATAAAAGAAGTCTCAAATTGGTATAAGCCATTATTGGATACTTAGGGAGATATTAAAGTTCATTATTCTTTATGTTCATTAGTTATTATTCAAATAAATGGAATTCCCAATGAAGTTAAAGTCTGAAGAAATTAAAATCCTCAGGTACCCCCCTCCCATTTTTTTTTAACTGGATGTCAGCCATGTGCTCTCATTTCCTATCACTGTGGTAGTTATCCTAAGGAAAATGATGTTTCTAGAGTCATTTCTGTGGTTAGAGATTATTGTAGAGACCAAAAAAGAGGAAGAATAGTCTAGGAAAACCTTGGTTTAAGCAGCCCCACTGGGATGCCAGCCAGTCTGGGCAAGGACACTGCCTCCTCGTCTTCTGAGTTCAAACCAAGAGAGGAAAAATTAGTTAGGCCATGTTATTTTTTTCTCTGATTAAGTAAATTGAAGAATGTGGCTTGCAACTTTGGCCATATTGTTTTCCTATAACACCTTCCCCAAATGAATTTAAAGGCATGACTGTACATATGGGTAAAAGAATGAGCTGCAAATACATTTTCGTTACCTTTCTGGAGCCAAGTTAGTTGTTAGGATATGAATGAAGATTATTGTTTCCACTAAAATTATGTTGTGTATTTGCCCTGGTTTGAGTGCTGGCCTGCAAACAAAAGGGTCGCCGGTTCGATTCCAAGTCTCCAAGTCGGCACATTTCTGGGCTGTGGGCCAGGTCCCCAGTAGGAGGAGGTGCATGAGAGGCAGCCACACATTGATGTTTCTCTTCCTCTCTTTTTTATTCCCTTCCCCTCTCTCTAAAATTAAATAAATCTTTAAAAAACACTTTAAAATTATATTGTGTATTGGGCCATTTTTATATCAATACATAAATATCCAAGCAGTAAAATATTCTTAAAAGCCAAATTCCTTGTACCAGCTGTTTATAAGATTAGGTTATATACCCTCATTTATTTCCTGTGAGAGATATGTATCTCTTATATGGAAAGAGTTGTTAATATGGAAAATACAATGAATAAATAATAATACAGAATAAACTCTTGTGTACTCACAACTGTAAACCTGCTTCTACCCCACCTTGTATGAGCAAATCACATATATAGTTTTGTTGTAAATATTATGTACCCTTCTAGTGATCTTCCTGATTGATAACTTTTGCAATGAAATTTTTATTGCTTTAGCTTTACATGTTGGTAATTCTCAGTGGCAATATAAAATAGTTGCTTCTGCATCCCTGCACACACTTTCTTAAATTCTTGTAATATCTGAATTTATGCTGAGGTATTTGGGAGAGGCTCCCTCAAAAGCCTGGGAAGTACTTGTGAGTTTTTAGGAGATAATGATTTAATAGTTGTGATACTAGACTATGGTTTTTTAAAGCCCTTTAGTAGGTTCTAATAGAATTGCTAATATTAGTACCGTTAAAAGTTTTGTCTTACTACTGCAATGAGTGAAAGTCTTGAATAATGTTGTCATGAGAGATGAACTTCCTAGAACCCATAATAGTCCCAGAATACATAAATATAATATTTATAAATCTGTAATATTAATATTCCTTTAAATCAATGTGATAACCTGGCAGGTAGAAATGTAACAGTATTTAGAATGCTAACCCTCTTTCTGATGAGCTCTGCAATTGCCTATCAATATACTACTTGTGTTTTGACTCATGTACTTTAAAAAAATACTTTGTTGATTTCTTTAGGGTCGACTAAGTCTTAAATTTCTTATATTCCTCCTCCTAGAGCTTCTCCCAGCCCCTTTTCATAGAGCATTGGGTATTAAAAAAAGCCTTCTTTTTAAAAAAGTATCCGTGGTTCCTTGTTTGTTGGGCAGTCATTTCTTCCCTTCTACAGTTTCCTGGCTGCAGCTTTAGGTTTGTGGCTGTAATAATGATCTGAGTCGAGATTGTTGAGGATTGTGTATTTGTTCCCCTTCTCCACGCATAGCCAGTGTTTTGACTTTCATGATCAATTTTTATTTGGATTTTAAAGAACTAATTGGACTTAATTTATTGTTATTGTTAGAAACAAAGGAATAACCACTGTGCCAGCAGCACTGTGCTAGGAAAAACTATGTTGTTTATATTAGTGACTTGTTCTGGTGCTACACTTAAAAGTTGATCTAGCATTTATAAAAATACCTTCTGAGAACCTCTAGGTCATCATATAAAGTAAGACCCCATAAGTGTTCAGAAAAATGGTGTTTAATGAAAGTTAAACATTTTAAAGTGACTTTTCCCTCTCCTTCAAATGACTCAACCTCAGCTACTTTTAAAAAGCCAAGGGGCTTAAAGCTCCTGTTGGCTCTGTAGATTTCAAACATCCCTTCCATTGCTGTTGCATCCTGTTATGTGAGAATTGAGAGGAGATAACTGTTATTAAAGTTTTTATCTCAAACATTTATAATAAAGTAGAAATAGATATCAGCAAAATAACATTGAATTTTTATTTTAAACACAAAACTTGTGGGTTCATTATAGGTAGGTTTTCACACTTATTGCATAGAAGAAATGGATTTTTCATCTGATTACTTGAAATTAGCTGTCTATTTGAAATAAATTTTACTTGTTCTGTAGCTGTTAAGAAATGTGGGGAAAAACTTGTGTGCAAAGTTTGATAAAGAAGAACTAAAAAATATTACTGAACTGTATGTTACAACTTTCTTAAATGTTTGTGTGTCTTAATAATTATGGTGAGCATAATTAGTGATCTTTAACAGATAATTTATTGTATCTTGTTTTTTGTGTGTCAGAACTAGAATTTAAATTTTTTTAAAGTGTATTGATTATGGTATTGTAGTTGTCACATTTATTTCTTCCCTTTATTCTCCTCCACCCTGCATACACCCTCTCACCAGCAGTCCCCACACCTTAGTTCATGTCCATGGGTCATACATATAAGTTCTTTGGCTTCTCCATTTCTTATACTGTTCTTAACCTCCCCCTGTCTATTTTGTATCTACCATTTATGCTTCTTATTCCCAGTACCTTTACCCCTATTTTCCCCCCTCCCCGCTGATAATCCTCCCTCCATGTGATCTCCACTCCTGTGATTCTGTTCCTGTTCTAGTTTGCTTAGTTGGATTTTGTTTTTGTTTTGAGTTCAGTTCTTGATAGTTGAGTTTGTTTTCATTTTACTGTTCATATTTTTGGTTATCATCTTTTTCTTAGATAAGTTTCTTTAACATTTCATATAATAAGGGCTTAATGTTGATGAACTCCTTTAACTTGACCTTACCTGGGAAGCACTTGATCTGTCCTTCCATTCTAAATGAAAGATTTGCTGGATAGAATAATCTTGGATGTAGATCCTTGCCTTTCATGACTTGGAATACTTCTTTCCAGCCCCTTCTTGCCTAGACGATTTCTTTTTGAGAAATCAGTTGATAGTCTAATGAGAACTCCTTTGCAGGTAACTGTCTCCTTTTCTCTTGCTGCTTTTAAGATTCTCTCCTTATCTTTAGTTTAGGGCAATGTAATGATGATGCGCCTTGGTGAGTACTTCATTGGGTCCAACTTCTTTGGGACTCTCTGAGCTTCCTGGACTTCTTGGAAGTCTATTTCCTTTGCCAGATTGGGGAAGTTCTCCTTCATTATGTTTTCAAATAAGTTTTCAATTTCTTGGTCTTCATCTTCTCCTTCTAGCACCCCTATGATTTGGATGTTGGAATGTTTAAAATTGTTCTAGAGGTTGCTAAGCCTCTCTTCATTTTTTTGAATTCTTGTTTCTTCATTCTGTTCTGGTTGAATGTTTATTTCTTCCTTCTGATCCAAATTGTTGATTTGAGTCCTGGTTTCCTTCCCATCACTGTTGGATCCTTGTACATTTTCCTTTATTTCACTTTGCATAGCCTTCACTTCTTTTTTGTGACCATACTCAACCATTTTGTGAGCATCCTGATTACTAGTGTTTTGAACTTTGCATCTGATAGGTTGGCTATCTCTTCATTGCTTAGTTCTATTTTTATGTTTTTGATCTGTTCATTTGGGCCATATTTCTTTGTCTCTGTGCATCTGTTACGTTCTAAGGGGGGAGCCTTAGGTATTTGCCAGGGTGGGGCAACACACCTCAATGTGCTGTGGTGCTGTATGTGGGGGAGAGGTCTGCTGCTTGCTCAGCTCTCGGTGGCTTTTAGTCACTTCTTCTGCTACCCACAAGGAAATTGGGCCCTTTTGGTGCTGATTCCTTGGTGGGTGGGTGGGTTTGTGTATGTTCTACGACCGTGTTGATCTCTCCTATGAGGCTGGGAATTTCTCCCACAGCCACACTCACAGGATTTTACAGACAGAGGTTTTGAGGCTTTCTTTTCCCATGCTGAAACCCTGGTTGTGTGGTCCCTCTTATTCCTCCTGGTTTATCCTCACTCAAATGTGGGACTACCTGGTCCTCTGGCGGCTGCCTCCTTGCCCCGGGTTCTCTTTGCCCTGGCTGCCTGTCTCTGCCCCTCCTATAAGTCTGAATGAATGTTTCTTCTTTAACTCCTTGATTGTTAGACTTCCATACAGTTTGATTTTTCTGACAGTTCTGGTTATTTTTTGTTTTTAAATTTGTTGTTGTCTTCTTTTGGTTGTTCAAGGAGGTAAAGTGTATCTACCTATGCCTCCATCTATCTGGAAGTTTTGTCTTGTATTTTTAATGTCTTATATAAAATACTACCAAGCTGTGGAATGAAATTGGAACCATTTCAAAATAGGACAGTTCTTATAGTGTATATAGTATATATTCTGATGAATCCTAAAATATATTTTGATACTTAGTTTTTATGATGATAAAGGAAGATATATTTGCAAGGTTTTTCTTTTTTTAAAATTACTTTATTGTTGTTCAATCACAGTTGTCTGCGTTTTCCCCCCACTACTGCCCCCCAGGTTTTCTACTATTTATAATTCTAAACAAGAATTTGAGTTCATTACAATTTGGTACTCTTGGCTTTGCCTAGAAGAAAAATATACTTCAACCCATTCATATTTGTTAATTTAATATTTCATGTTTCATGTAGTTTTGGAACTCAAGGTAGTTTCTAAGTACATGTTACTATTGCATAAATGGGAAACAGTTCTTAAACTGGAATTTTTTTTGTTTTTGTTAAGGAAAAGTAACTGTATGAGTAGTTATTCAGGGAGTAATTCATGCAGGTTGCTAGTATTTTCAACACATCCCTTCTTTTTATTACAGATCTCCACAGGATAAAAGAACACTTCTTGTGAATTATCAGAATAAGAGTCTTTCACAGTCTTTTGAAAATCTTCTTGATGAACCAGCATATGGTTTAATACAAGTATGTTTTTTAAATCTATCCTGTATTGTTCATTTGTAGATCTGTCTTCATTATTTTATATATATCCTACCTCCCAACTTTCTCAGATTATACAGAATGAGGCACATGTCTTTCTCTGTGTAATATTTATAAAATTATCCTCTCTAATTTTATAGAAGTAATAGTATGTTTCTTATTATTTGTTAGATTCAAAAGCTTCCTTGGTTCTTAGTTATTACTCTTAGGGCAGTGTTTTCCTTTATACTGAAATTGGACATTAGTAGATTTTTATTATCATAGCTTTCATTGATTAGGTGAAAGGTCACTGTGTTAAGGCACTTGAATTCATTAATAATAAACTTAGGCAAAATCTGGTTTGAATTTTATTTTCCATTTAAGTAGAATTTAATTCCCCTTAAAGTATTTGAGTGTATTCTTGAATTTGACTAGAAGTATTCACTTAACACACATTAAAATAAAAGTTAATTTATTTTTTCATTCATATTTCTATATAAACTAACAAAATGGTGGTTTATTCATTCATTTATTTATCAAATGTTTGAGTGCTTATTCTTTCCCAGGTGCTCTCTTCTTGATTCTGAGATGAGTAAGAGAAGGAAAATAGCTGAGAGCTAAACACTGATTAAAATAAAAAGTGAGGAAATAGTTTTTCCTATTGTGCAAAATAATAATTTTAAAGATGAACATTAAAGAAGTAACTGTTTTTGCTAAATATGAATAATCAGGCAGTTGGGGATTTAGAAGTAACTCTAGCAGTAGAAAAGCCTTTTGCTGTTTCCCAGGACAGCACTGCCCAGAACAAATTATTCTTATTAGCATGGTTTACCTTTCATATAATAAAATGAAAATACTAGCAAATATTTAAATATTGTGAGCTTTTAAGCTTAGCTGCCAAATGTTTTTGTTAGACTTGTATGGTGCTATACATTTCAAGAAATATATTTTTTTGTGAAGGCAGGACTGCTAGACAGAAGAAAGCTGTTGTGGGCCATTCACCAATGGCAAGTAAGCACTGCATATGTTTCGGATGTGCAGATTGAATGAAGCCTGCAAATCACTTGTTTATCTGCAACTCAATCAGTAGCATTAATTTGCCATTTAACATACTGTTTTAACCAAATGAAAAGATTGGCTGAGAAATTTAAAATTTTTCTTCTCAGAAAACAATAAAATTTTAAGATAATCTTAGAACACACTGTTTTAGTTCTGATTATTCCCCTTTTAAAAAACTTTGCCCTTTTACCCATCATGAGGTATTTTTATTCTGTATTTGAATTAATAATGCTAATATTTTTCCTACTATATAGAAAATTAAAAAGGATCCTTATACCGCAACTATGGTAGGATTTTCGAAAGTTACAAACTACATTTTTGATAGTTTGAGAGGCAGCGATCCCTCTACACATCAACGACCACCTTCAGAAATGGCAGATTTTCTTAGCGATGCTATTCCAGGTTTAAAGATAAATCAACAAGAAGAACCAGGATTTGAAGTCATCACAAGAGTGAGTAGAGATTTATATTAATGTAAATCTTGTATTTTAACAGGAGGAATGTTTTTAAACGTCTATGAATATTATACAAATAGAATCTCAATAGAAACTCAATTTTGGTTATATTTGCCTCTTTCCTTATAACTTTTTGCTAACTAACATCTAACAACTAACACTTGTCCTGTTGGTGGACTAACACCAAATTGTTAGTTTGTTCTTCAGTTACTCCATATACTTTCTGTTCATTAATGTTAGATCAATTTTCTTTGATTACTTTTTTCTACTGTGAATAATTGATTAGTTGTTAATTCTTAATATGCCTAATTTAGAAATTAAACTTCATCATTGGCATGTAAGTAAAGGAAAACAGTACATGTAGGGTTCAGTACCATCCATGATTTTAGTTATCCACTGGGGTCATGGAATCTATCCCCCACAGATATGGGGGGGACTGCTGTGTACTGAAAAGTATGCCATAGAATTTAGGTATTTAAAAAATTGTTAAAAACAAACTCAGGTACTAGTAGTACCCTTCCAAGTAATTCTGGCATTCATATTTAATATTTAACTATTCTGCATATTATTCATTGGAGGTATAGTACACCATATTTAAAAACAACTATTTACAAAGTTTTTCTTTTCTAGTAATAGCCTCTAAGCTTGTGGGTTCACCCCAAACTGTTCTTAAAAGATCTCTTTTGGTCTGTAAAGTCTCCTGGAAATAAAGCTTCTTTGACTGCTAAAAACAGAACTTTTCAGAGTTCTGATGACTTCCGGTGGCCCTTTGGTAAACTACTTTAGCCCCTCTTATGCCTCTCTGGATATTCAATTTCATCTGAAGACTGCAAGACCTCTTTAACCATCCCTAAGTTTAAAGCTAAAGCCTGTTTTAATTTCCAGTTTGAGGGCCACACTTAAAACTTAAGAACTGTCCACTACTGATAATTTCATCCATTGAGGTCGTACTGCCCCAGCTTGATATCATACCCATCTCCTTCTGAAGAAATCTGATCTAATTCTCTAGTCATTAACCTGAAATTTTGTGCTGTAATAAATTCTGCACCTCCACCCAGTGCCTGACCTTAATCCAGTGCACCACTTTTATTTCTTTTTTAATTTTTAAAAAATATTTTATTTTTCTTCAGAGAGGAAGAGAAGGAGAGAAATATCAATGTGTGGCTGCCTCTCATCTGTTCCCTGCTGGGAACGGCCTGCAACCCAGGCATGTGCCCTGACTGGGAATTGAACTGCGATCCTTTGGTTCGCAGGCCTATGCTCAATCCACTGAGCTATGCCAGCCAGGGCCAGTGTACCACTTTTTAAAGTCTCAATGAATCTTGTTAAGATGTTTTGAATGAACATACATAAGGCCACTGGAATTCCATCCTCTGGAATTCCTAGTGCTTTCACAGCATTCAGATCAGATCCTGAGAAGAAAGTATTTTTTGCCCCACAAATAATAATACCCTTTCCCTCTGTTCAGTTTTCCAATTCAATCACTTTCCCCAAAAGTTGTACCATCATAACAGCTGAGAAGTCATCCCTTTTACTTGGATTATTGAGAGTATGAAAAACCCGTGTCATTGTCTTGCTTCTGAAGGTCAGTGGATCCACCAGGAAACTGCTAAAGTTTTGTTTTTAATTCTTCCTCATAGAAGCCATGAGATGTATTGTAAAGGGACAACGATCCCTTTGGATGTAGCAGTTTGTCCTTAGAGACATAGATATGTCTTTAAAAGGTTTCCTGCCATTTCCTGTTTGGATTCTATTTTTCTTTGCAAGATGGTTTCTCTTATTGGAATGATCTGATTACCTTTTGATAATGATGAACAGGTTGGTTGTTTCATTGAGTGCATAGCAGTGAGTAAATAGTGACTGTAGCATGTTATCCCTAGTTCTGTTCCTAATTTGTGTTTTCTTAGTAGACACCATAGGCAGCGGTCAGGACACTACTCCTCCAAGGCTCTTATTCTCATGGGAATCTTTTCTTTTTCAGATAAGATGGACTTTGGCCGTGAATTACGACAAATCTTTATGTATATGCTCAACAACACATTTAAATTTGCTGCAGTGCTAGGCTGCACGTTGTTAGAACATTATAAATACCTAAATTGTGGTACTTAATTAAGGGGCTTATCTTGTAAATGGCATTTTTAAATTACCAACATCTGTTAATTGAATAAAAAAAACTGTAGAAAATATCCATTGGAGCTAATGGATCATGAATCAATTCTGAGAGCTACAAATTTTAGTTTGGAAGAAAAGCTAATTTTAGAATACGATTAATGGGATAACACTGTTTTTTAATAATATAGCATACCATTTAGTTTGAAGGGTCCCTTATAGAATCTACATGTTAACTGTTCTGCGCTTATGTAATGGAAACACAAAATAGCAAATGTTTTCCCATCTCTGAATTTATAACCTCATTATATATATGTTTAGTAGGAGGGGAAAATGTATGGAATGCTAGCTGTTTTAATTCATGAATTAAATATTGGAAAATAAGGGAAGTTATTAATAATGTTAGAACATTTCTTTCTTTTTTTTTTTTTTTTAAGATTTTATTTATTTATCTTTAGAGGGAAAGGGAAGGAGAGAGGGAGAGAAACAACAATGTATGGTTGCCTTTCGTGCGTCCCCTGCTGGGAACTGGCCTGCAGGGAACTGGCCTGCAACCCAGGAATGTGCCCTGACCGGGAATCGAACCGCGATTGTCTGGTTCGCAGGCCTGTGCTCAATCCACTGAGCTACACCAGCCAGAGCAGAACATTTCTGAGTAATTGTATTTTAGTTTAAATTTTTATATGCCTTGATTCCATTTCACTGGTTAAAGGTGTACTCCTTATTGCTTATCTTCCTATTTTAGATTGATTTGGGAGAACGACCTGTTGTTCAAAGGAGAGAGCCAGTATCAGTGGAAGAATGGACTAAGAATATTGATTCTGAAGGAAGAATTTTAAATGTAGATAATATGAAGCAGATGATATTTAGAGGGGTAAATACTTTAAAATGGACTATACTTTAAACTGCTGGTATTCAAGTTTTCTTTTTCTTTTTGTGGGGAGGGTGAGGGCACAAAATCCTTTTTGAAAAATGTTGCCTTAAAATCAGGTGGGGGAAGACCATAAGGAAAGATATTTTTCCTTACTTGATATTTTATGGGTTATGTGAAGGACACAGGTATGTACCTCAGTAGTAGTTACCTTACCCAGTAATGATTGGGCTTTGAAAGACTTAGTCCTACTGTCCACTCTGCATTCTACTGTATACTCTGCATTGTTTGAGCTATATTAGTCTTCCTCTTTATTTAAATGAAAGTTTTGTGAACTTAAAATATTGTATTCTTTTTCATGAATGTGTTTAATATACATGTTTTCTTCAGGGACTGAGTCATGCATTGAGAAAGCAAGCATGGAAATTTCTTCTGGGTTACTTTCCTTGGGACAGTACCAAGGAGGAAAGAACTCAACTACAAAAACAAAAAACGTAAGTCATTGTCTTTATATGTTCATCTAAGAAATTCAGGTAACTCACCCATACAGATTAGTAAAGGGTGGGAAAATAATTTTTATCTTTTAATTGAAGACTTACGAGCACCAGTGTCAGGGAAGCCGCAGATCCTGTTTGGAGGTGTCTTTGAAATTGCTGGGTAGACACCATGAGTAAAGTTTACCCTCCCGAGTTAAAAAATATTATGGACAAGAAGGTATCTTTGAAAGTAAATGGTGGCAGATGTGTCTAGGGATATTGAGGGGATTTGATCCCTTTAGGAATCTTGTGACAGATGAAAATGGAGATGGCAGCTAGTGGGCAGCAGAACAATACTTGAATGGTGGTAATATGAGGAAATTGTATCATCATGTTAGAAGCTTCTGAAAGAGTATAAAGAATGGCTGTGTTCATCAGACAAACCAACTGCTTCCACATGCCCCTTCTCCATAGCACCTGTTTTACTACAATATAAAAATCGAGTCATATACATGTTCTTTTTTTTTAAAAGATTTTATTTATTTATTTTTAGAGAGAGGGGAAGGGAGGGGGAAAGAGAGGGAGAAAAACATCGATGTGTATCAATTGGTTGCCTCTAGCATGTTCCCAACTGGGGACCTGGCCCACAACCCAGGCATGTGCCCTGACTAGGAAGCGAAGTGGCAGCCTTTCAATTCTCAGGCTGGTACTCAACCCACTGAGCCACACTAGCCAGGGAATGCATTTTCATACTGAAGTTTTGTAATAGAAAAAAATTTAGCACCATAGTTCTTTCAAACTGGAAATGTTTATTAGACCTCATTGTAGTTATGTTAGTGAATATGTAGAAAGATAGTAAAAAATATTTCAGTCCCGCCCTGGCTGGTGTAGCTCAGTGGACTGAGTGCGGGCCTGTGAAGCAAAGGGTCGCCGGTTCGATTCCCAGTCAGGGCACATGCCTGGGTTGAAGGCCAGGCCCCCAGTGGGGGACACATGAGAGGCAAGCACACATTGATGTTTCTTTCCCACTCTTTCTCCTTCCTGTCCCCTCTCTAAAAATAAAGAAATAAAATGTATTTAAAAAAATATATTTCAGTCCCTTTGTAAAAACATGTGTATTTGAAAAATAACTAATAAGATTTGGATTTTAAAATATATCTCATTCAGTCCTAGCTGGTAGCTTAGTTGTTTAGATCATCATCCGAATACCCTGAGGTTGCGGGTTTGATTCCTCATTAGGGCACGTACAACAATCAACCAACGAATGCGTGAATAAGTGGAAAAATAATTCAGTATTTCTCTCTCTCTCTTTCTTCATTCCTCTTTCTAAAATCAGTAAATTAAAAACTTTAAAATATTTATCTTGATTTAGTTTTGAATTTTTTTGAGATGATAAAAATGGCTTATGAGAAATATATTTGCTTATTTAGGTTATTTAAGTAATTTTTCTTGTGCTCTTGTAACATAAACTGGTCTTTCATTCTTTTTGGAAGAGTGTTTCTGTTTTTAAACAATTTCTCAGATTTGAGAAGAAAAACTACAACTTTCCAGGTACACTTCTTATTTTCAACTCATCAGTCTAACTTTTCATTTAAAGGACACTCTTAACATTATGTGCACATTCAAATTCTCAGACAATTCTTTCTCTTCAACACTCACCAGTCCTTCTAAGACACTTTCCCTTTAACAAGTTTGCAGTAAACTCCTTGTCACATTTAAAAAAATAACATAAAGTGTAGATTGACAATTATTTAGAAACTTTCATGGTTAAAATATTTAATGACTGAAATAGTTTTCAGTATGATATTAAGGATTAAGGTAACTTTTTCCTTACAGTCATACCTAAATGAGTAGTTTAAACTAAGTTTATGACATGTATAAGGTTTTATTATTCCTTTGTTTTCATAACTTTAAAGATTTTAGTATCATATTTATAAAGTTAAATCTCATTAGCATTGTAAATTTGTTGATATTTGTTTGTAGAAAAGCTCAATTAAATTTTTTAAATGTTCAGAGTAAAGTAAGCTGTTTTTGGTGTAAAATTGTTTTCTGTAGTGATGAATACTTCAGGATGAAACTACAGTGGAAATCTGTCAGCGAGGAACAAGAGAAGAGAAATTCGAGATTAAGAGATTATAGAAGTCTTATTGGTAATTTTTTCTTAATTTTGGAAATGTACAAGAGAGTTTTACAGTGAAATCCTGATAAGATTTAAGAAATGAATATATGTGCTACAGAATTGGACCTCAAAAGAGAACTCAGAATTTGAGATTACATTAGAATGTGTGCTTACTGTTTTTGGCTGTTACTCTTCAAATAGGTGTATGAATTCAGTCAGTTTATAAATAAGTACTACTACATCTCATTTTTAATTTAAAAATACAAATTAGTAAAAAGAATAACTTTATTTGCTTGCTGAATTAATTGCATTAAAAATTGGCTTCCTTATTTCAAAAACAGCTTGTTTATTATAGAAAAATTAAGGCCCTGGCTGGGTATCTCAGTCGGTTAGATTGTCATCCTGATACGCCAAGGTTGTCGGTTTAATCTCTGCTCAGGGCACATACGAGAATCAGCTAATGATTGCATCCGTAAATGGAACAGCAAATCGATGTTTCTCGAGCTCTCTCTCCTTTCTTCCCTATCTCTAAAGTCAATAAATAAAAATTTTAAAAGGAACTATATATGAGCAAAAAGGAAATAAAAATTAGTTTGTTTTTGTCACTCAGAAATAACGTAAAAAGAAAACTCTCACCCAAGGACATTTTTTAATGGCTTTTAGAGAAAGAGGAAGGGAGAAAGAAACACTGATGCAAGAGAGAAGCATTAATTGGTTGCCTTCCTTACCTGCTTGGACCAGTATCTAACTTGGAGCCTTTCCGTTATAGGATGCTACAGCCTACTGAGCCAAACCAACCAGGGCCGGAGATAACTGTGTTAAATAGATTTTGTTTTATATCCCTGAAGACCTTCTCTAAATATGCATGTATTTCACTTTTTAATTAAATAAATGACTCTAGATAGATAATAAATTTTTGTCAGTTTTTATCAATTGAATAACTAGTCCTTAAAAAAGAAATTCATGATAGAATTTTACATAAGAAAATTAGACTTTTTCCAAATAGTGAGTACCGACTCTTAGGGTGAAGGCTAGGTTGGTACACGTTATTGAAGGAAAGCATAGTTATTGCTGTACATGTCTTATCTGACAAGTTTTGGTTCATAGTCTCTATTTTACAGGTAAAAAAACTAAAGCACTGAGAGCATAATGACTTATCCAAGGTCACCTGGTTAGTAAGGACAATGCCCAGTTTCAGTGCTCTTACCTGTTTTGTTACCTTGCCTCCAGGTACTTCTAGGATAGCTTTGGGTTGTAGTGGAATTAATTTTTTTATTCTTTTATTTTATTTGAATTTGTTTATTTATAGCTTTATGAGTGAAGATAGAGGGATGTTTTTATACCCCCATGGTTATCACCACTATCCTGTGGAAGAAAAAAAAAATCCCTAAAAGCCCAACACAATAGACTGATTTGGTAGTTTTTGTACACAGAAAGACTAGTGATCTTTTTAGCAATAGTACTTTGGATTGAAAAAGAATTTTATTTTTCTGAAAATAAATTATACCAGAATAAACTATTCTAATGTCTTGCTAAGGAAAAGGTGGGGGTATTGCGGCATACCATTTTCTGAAGTTGCCCACTGAAGCCTTCTGCTATTTTAAGTTTCACTAGGAAAAATGGTAACAGACTCCTTTTTTTTTTACCATTATAATTGGCATTTATTAAATTTCCATCAAGATCAATGCTAGCTCATAATATTATAAAGAAGAAAAATCTTACTTTTTAGGGAATATCTTTATAATCTTGAAGTTGGCAAAGTCTTACTAAATGTACATAGAAAATGTTAACCATAAAGGGGAAAAAAAGGATAAGTTGAAGTCCATTAAAATTAAAAATTCCTGTTCTCCAAACATACCATTAGGAAAATCATGAGAAATCAAAGGCAAAAAAAAATGGGATAATATACTTACAGATATGGATAAGCATTCTAGAACAGTACTATATAGTAAAACATTCTGCAATGTTCTAACTGAATTGTCCAGTGGTAGCCACTGATTCTATGTGAATATTGAACACTTTTTTAAAAATTTATTTAATTATTGTTCAAGTACAGTTTTCTTTCTCCCATCCCAGCCCACCCCCCAGTGCTCCCCACCTCCCTCCCATTTCCACCCCCCTTAGTTGTTGTCTACATGTCCCTTATACTAGTTCCTGTAAATCCTCCCCCTTTTTCCCCTGAAATTCCCTCCCCTCTGGTCACTGTTCCCTTGTTCTCTATTACAGGGTCTTTGGTTATATTTTGCTTGCTTGATTGTTTTGTTGTTTAGCTTCCTGTTAAAGCTGAGATCATATGGTATTTGTCTTTCAACACCTGGCTTAATTCACTCAGCATCATGCTTTCCAGTTCTGTCCATGCTGTTGCAAAGGGTAGGAGCTCCTTCTTTCTTTCTGCTGCATAGAATTCCATTGTGTATATGTACCCTAGCTTTTTGATCCATTCATTTACTGACCGGCACCTAGGTTGCTTCCAGCTCTTGGCTATTGTAAATTGTGCTGCTATGAACATTTGGGTGCATAGGTTCTTTTGGATTGGTGTTCTAGGGTTCTTAGGATATAATCCCATCAGTGGAATAGCTGGGTCAGAAGGCAGGTCCGTTTTTAGTTTTCTGAGAAAATTCCATACTGTTTTTCACAGTAGTTGTACCAGTCTGCAATCCCACCAACAATGGATTAGTGAGTGTCCCCTCTTCTCCACAACCTCTCCAACACCTGTTGTTTGTTGCTTTGTTTACGATGGCCATTCTGACCAGTGTAAAGTGATATCTCATTGTGGTTTTAATTTGCATCTTTCTGATAGCGATATTGAGCATCTCTTCATGTGTCTCTGGATCCTCTGTATGTCAAATCCTTTGCCCATTTTTTAATTGGGTTGCTTGTTTCAGAGTGGAGTCATGTAAGTTCTTTGTATATTTTAGAGATTAAACCTTTGTCTGAGGTATCATTGGCAAATATGTTTTCCCATACAGTTGGTTCTCTTTTTATTTTAATACTGTTTTCTTTAGCTGTGCAAAAGCTTTTAATTTTGATGAGAAGCCATTTGTTTATTCTTTCCTTTATGTCTCTTGCTCTAGGGGACATATCAATAAAAATGTTGTTGCATGAAATAGCAGAGATTTTTCTGCCCGTGTTCTCCTCTAGGACTTAATGGTGTCATGGCTTATATTTAAGTCTTTTATCTACCTTGAATTTATTTTGATGTATGGTGTTAAGTTGGTGCTCAAATTTTATTTTTTTGCACGTAGCTGTCCAGTTCTCCCAACACCATTTGTTGAAGAGGCCATTATTAGCTCATTTTATTTTGCTGCCCCCTTTGTTGAATATTAATTGACTGTAGAGACTTGGGTTTATTTCTGGGCTCTCTGTTCTGTTCCATTGGTCCATGTGTCTGTTTTTATGCCAGTACCAGGCTGTTTTGATTACAGTGGCCTTATAATACAGTTTGATATCAGGTATTGTGATCCCTCCTACTTTGTTCTTCTTTCACAAAAGTGCAGCTGTTATTCGGTGTCGTTTATGGTTCCATATAAATTTTTGAAGTGTTTGTTCTATGTCTGTGAAATATGCCATTGGTACTTTAATAGGTATTGCATTGAATCTGTAAATTGTTTGGGGTAGTATGGACATTTTGATGATGTTAATTCTTCCAGTCCATGAACACGGTATATGTTTCCATTTGTTCGTGTCTTCCTTGATTTCGTTCTTCAGGGCTGTGTAGTTTTCTGCATACAGGTCTTTTACCTCCTCAGTTAGGTTTATTCCCAGATATTTTATTTTTCTTTTTGTATATTGAATGGGATTTTTTATTCTTGATTTCTGCTTCTGCTTTTTCATTGTTGGTATACAAAAATGCCTTTGATTTCTGGATATTGAGTTTGTATCCTGCTCTTTTGCCAAATTCATTTATTAGGTTGAGCAGTTTTTGGATGGGGTCTAGGATTTTCCATATTACTACCATGTCATCTGCAGACAGTGACAGTTTTGTCTCCTTTCCGATTTGGATGCCTTTTATTTCCTTTTCTTGTCTGATCTCTGTGGCTAAAACTTTCAATACTATATTGAATAGAAGTGTTAAAAGTGGACAACCTTGTTTTGTTCCTGATCTTAGTGGAAAAGCTTTCAGTTTTTGCCCATTGAGTATGACGTTGGCCATAGATCTGTCATATATGGCCTTTATTATGTTGAGGAATGCTCCCTGTATTCCCACTTTGCTGAGTGTTTTTATCATAAATGGGTGCTGGACCTTAGCAAATGCTTTTTCCACATCTGTGGATATGATCATGTGATTTTTGTCTTTGCTTTTGTTTATGTGATTTATTACATTTACTGATTTGCGAATATTGAACCATCCTTGCATTCCTGGGATGAATCCCACTTGGTCATGGTGTGTGATCTTTTTAGTGTATTGTTGGATGTAGTTTAGCAATATTTAGTTGAGGATTGTAGTGTCTGTGATCATCAGTGATATTGGCCTGAAGTTTTCTTTCTGTGTTGTATCTTTATTTGGTTTTGGGATTAGGATGATGCTGGCTTCATAAAAAGAGTTTGGGATTCTTCCATCAATTTGGATTTTTTGGAATAGTCTGTGAAGGATAGGGGTTAGCTTTTCCTTAAATGCTTTGTAGAATTCTCCTGTGAAACCATCTGGTCCAGAGCTTTTGTGGGTCGGGAGTCTTTTGATTACTGCTTCAATTTCATCTGCTGTTATTGGTAGTTCAGGCTTTCTGCTTCTTCGTCATTGAGTTTTAGAAGATTTTATTTTTCTAGAAATTTGTCCATTTCCCCTAGGTTTTCAAATTTCTTGGTATATAGTTCTTCATAGTAATTTCTTACAATCCTTTGTATTTCTGTGGTGTCAGTTGTAATCTCTCCTTTTTCATTTCCGACTTTTTTGTGTCCTCTCTTTTTCTTTTTTTAAATTATTTTAGTTTTTTTATTGATTATGCCATTACAGTTGTTCTACTCCCCCCTTCATTCCCCTCCACCCTATCCCCTCATTACCCCCCTTTAGTTTATGACCATGTGTCTCAA